TCCTGATATCTCTGCTGAGGATATTAAAGGTGGTATATGTAGGGGTAGGAGTTGTTGTTTGTTTTGCTTTGTTTTTTAATTATCTCCCCCTGCTTGTTTTGTTTCCTCCAAGTTGCTTTTTTGTAGTTGTTTGCTTGTTTGGCCTTGATTTCTAGCCTTCATGTATGTTGTTTTCCTCATGTATCTGTCTGATAATATTGGCTTTCTGCTTATTGAAAAATGGGGACCTAAAAAGCTAATTGGGATTTCTAAGAACATAGAGCTTGTTGACTGTGTCACTGTAGGGTGACCTGACAGGGCCATTTAGTGGGAGAATCTTTGATGCCCAGAGGAACCTCCCCAGTGCAAGAAAATAACCTGGCTACCAGTTCATGTCAGGCTGGGGGCTGGATCTCAGCATTCATCATAGTGACCCACCCTTCCCTGGGCCTGTAGTGTTTAGTCCAGCAACCTTCTACCCTCAGGAGGATCAGACAGTTGCCAAGTGCTGAGGAGTCAGGGAGGCAACTGGGCACCAGAGTGCTTCCCAGGGAGACTTTCAGTCAGCTCTCACTTCCTGAGCATTTGGGGACTTCTACAAATGTCAATTGTGTCCACCCTCAGCTTTTGCACTGTAGGCTTAGGACACTTTTCTAGGGCTTCTGCTAAGTCCTTAGCACTCATCTATCTGCTTTCTAGTTTCTAGAATTGCGTCTTTCTTGCCTCTTTCCTGTGCTTTTAACCCTTGTGAGTTTATTCCTTTTTTTAAAAAGGGATCTGGGGAAGAGCAAAAGTATGTGCAAACCACCATCTTTATCCAGAAACTAGTGCTTCTTCCAGGACTTCCAGTCATTTACTAAATTTTACTTACTGCAGCCTCCTACTTCCATAACATACCCTAATAAAATAGCCTTTCTTCAGAACAATTTCTGAGAGCCTTTGTGATATTTGGTTCACTACAAGGAGTGCATTGCTCCCCCTCACTTAGGTCTAATAGCACCCCCAAACTTGAATCATATGATTGATTTTGCCTTTATTGTTCCTTCAAAGGAATGCCCAGTCGAGTAGATTTTAATAGCACCTCCTCTTGCCATATTGTGCTTGATTCTGTTCCTTCAATGCTTTCTATTGCTACTTAATACTTACTAGGAGCTAAAAATTTATTTATTTATTTATTTATTTATTATTTTTATTATTATTTTGAGTTGGAGTCTCACTCTGTCGCCCAGACTGGACTGCAGTGGCCGCTCCCGGCCGCCGCAGCCTCAACCTGCTGGGCTCTGGCCATCCTTCCGCCTCAGCCTTCCAAGTAGCCGGAATTACAGGCATGCACTACCATGCCCGGGTGATTTTTTGATTTATTGTAGAGATGAGGTTTCGCTGCCCAGGCGGGTCTCGAACCCGCGGGCTCAGGCAATCCACTCACCTCAGCCTCCCAAAGGCGCGGGATTACAGACTGAGCCACCGAGCCCGGTTTTAAAATTTACTTTAAACATTGAATTATATAGGATCCCTTCTGGGTGAACTGTTGATCTAAATTAGTGGCTAGTAATTCCTGCTAATTAGCTGAATCCTCTCCTCTGTCAGCGTCTTCATTTCATTAACATTGCAGCTCTGCTTACAGTCATAATATTACTTGTTAGGACAAGTTAGCTGTTACCTTTTACTTGTTAATACAAGTGTTTCACGTATTATTGTCACTGACTGGTTTTTGGCCCTTGGCCGAAACTTTTGCTTACTGCCCTCATGCAGACCTGGTGCAAACTAGAAAGTGGTTTCTGCCAACCTAGTTCAGCTTTGAGCCATTTCCTGCTTATATTTGATGATTCAATGCAGCTATATTAATTGTAAATGGCAGTACCATGACCTTAGCAACTGTTTTTGACTGTAGACAAGTATTTGCAAGATGGAAGTCCAGCAGACAACATTCAGACAGTGACAAGAAAGGCGCATGCAGGGAGCTCACACCTGTGAGTGCCAGAGTAGCATTAGACCTGAGTCCGACTTTCAGTTTGTGTTTGATAAACCCTTTAGAGAGGGAATGTCCTTCCTTAAGACTTTCCCCATTTCAGCTAGTGTTACAAATTACAAATGTTAGCCTGCAACTAGCAAAGCAATCCAAGAAAATCAGTAGTAGATGCTAAAATTCAAGCAGTCCAGCAATACAGCCTGTTGCTATAAACAGGAATTAAATGTTTTCCTTCAGTTGAGGGTGAGGCAGTACCATTAATCTAATCAGCCAAAGCAGAGGTGGGCAACTGTGGCCTATTTTTTTACTGACCTAATGGTAAGGATGAGTTTTATAGTTTTGAAGGGTGGGTAAAAAAAGAAAAAAACAATGAGGAAAAAAAGAAGAGGAAAAGGAAACAGTAAAAAGAGGAGGAGGAGAAAGGAAGAATTTATAACAGACTATATGTGATCCATAAAACCTAAAGTATTTACTCTCTGGCTCCTTCCAGAAAAAGTTTGCAGGCCCCACTAAGCCTAAAGATCCCACTAACCCGGCCTTATTTCTTTCTTGACTGACGTGCTGCTTCCTAAATCCTGGAAAGCTCTCCGAGTATTTACCAAGGCTTTTTTAATTTAAATATGTATGTGATTTTTTAAAAATTAAACTATAAATCAATTTGAATAACCAATTGTCAAGTTTGTGACATCTGAGATTTACCAATATGAAGAACAGTAGAATTATGTCCTTCCTTATTTGTGCATATAAGTCAACATGGCCCATCGTAGACTAAATATCTAAATATCTAGAAAAAACAGCAAAATTATAAAGAGTGTTTCTGTTAAACTTTTGGCTTGGTTGGAGATACTGTCATGAAGGTATATATTGAAATTGTTTTTCTTTGTGAAGTATGAAATGTGAACAAAAATAAAGTTAAAACAAGTGTGTGAAATACTAATATCCTTTTACTTACTGAAAGCCTAACCAAAGAAAAGGTTCTACTTAAGGAATTAACTTTAGACTTAGATATGTAATTTCTTTTTCTTTTTCTTTTTTTTTTTTTGAGTTGGAATCTCACTCTGTTGCTCAGGCTGGAGTGCAGTGACACACTCATGGCCACCACAGTCTTGATCTGCTGGGCTCAGGCGATCCTTCCGCCTCAGCCTTCCAAGTAGCTGGAACTACAGGCTCATGCCACCACGCCTTGCTAATTTTTTGATATATTGTAGAGATAAGGTTTCGTCAAGTTACCTGGGCTGGTCTCATACCCCTGGGCTCAGACAATCCTCTTACCTCTGCATCCCAAATGCTGGGATTACTGGCATGAGCTACTACACCTGGTGCTGTAATTTATTTTTAAATCATGACTTAACCAATTATCCTTCCTTGCTGTGGATACCAGCCAAGATTTTGTCTTTATTCACAAGATATATATGAAGGTCAACTTTACTTTAGGTTATCTCATTTTAAATCATTTTCCGTCTCCATGCTCCAAAATAGCCCTATACCATTTCCAGGTGAATTTTCCAAAAAGTTATCTCTGATCCTATTATTCCCTTACTTTGAAATTCTCAGGTATACATGGCCTGTCAAATTGATCTAATCAACATTAAGAAAGAAATAAAACCAAATACATAAATTACCAAACACCTCTTTTGAGTTAGTTAATATAAAAGTCATGGGGAAATGACCGGTTGTACACTTGTATATTATTCAATGTATTGTGCAATAATTCTGTCTGTGTTGTGGGACATATTTCATATTTGCCTTGAATCCACTGGCAAATTCAGCATACTAATATGCTAATTATTTATCCAACAGTGGAATAACTCTTTTTTGCTATGAAGAAGTGATTTGGCAGAACATTCAGGTGATTAATCAGAAATAAAGTTTGTGAGGCCAGTTCATGTCTCTAATACTCAACCTACTCCAAATATAATTGTAACCAATTTTTAATGTTCATCTTCAGTGGTACCTGTGACTTACATAGTCAAGTAACTAATTTAATATCCTATCTTCCCTTTGACTCCCTGTGATGATTCAGGGAGCATACAGAATTATCCTGTGTTCATAGGATTAATTTCCAGCTATTAAAGCCTACTAACTCTAAGTATAAAACTTAGGACAAATGTCATATTTTTAATTTTTTGCCAACAAGACTTATTTATAAAAATAAATATCTCAAATCATAGAGTATATTCTGTTGTTTAGGTATCCAATTATAGACATTTAGAGGTCAACAGTAAGTCATTGGCTTGATCTATTTTTAAAAAAAGAGAATATGAAATGGATAAGTAGAATTTTAGCTAGAAGCAGGTCTTGAAGCAGTGAGCATATTCTGCACAGTGTGGACTTGAGCAATTGCTCCTGGGACCTTTCCTGTTGCCCACCATGGATGTTTAGGGTAGGAAACTCAGTCCAAATAACATACTATCTCAGTCAGAGGAGGTTATGGCAGAGAGATGCTGATGTACCCTCTCTTAGCAGGAAATAAACAATTAGTTGTGCATTTTTGGAGGATTGATCATCTGAGACTTATTAATGAGGCCTACCACAGGTGGGGAGAGCAGGATAACTTGTATGCGATTCAGCGATAAAATGTATGGTTAATTAGGGTATGAAACTTATGCCCAAATGGCACGCATTGGATTAACACTGAATATTCTTAAAACTACAAAAGGAAGACAAAAATAAAGAAGGGGGAGACACAATACATTAATTCATAATAATTGGGATTATCAAGAAAGATTTAAAGAAATGCAAAATATTTGAAATCTCTGAAAGTTACCAGGTTCCTTTTTCTGGCTAATCTGTTCATTTCTAAAGTCTGATTTCTGACTTCATCATAATTTTCCCAAAAAGAAAGGAAAATAATGCCCTTTCAAAAAAGATCTAGAAAGACTTTTAAAGTCCCGATTTCTCTAGCAGTCAGGTTTGGAGAGGCCTGTGCTGCTATAGTTAATGAGCTTAACCCACTCCTACAGGGAGAGGGCTGGGCTATCCTGAGGTGCTACTGTGTGGCCAAATGCTCCCAAGCAATTAGGAGCTGACAAAGTGTTTATCTTCTTTACAGATGGGAAGGAAAGAATGAAAATGAAGTGGGCAGATGTAAAGAGACCGGCAAAGTTCACGTGACTGTGGATCTCAAGTACTACCGGCCAACTGAAGTGGTAAGGGCTACCAGGCCGCCCAGTGCATGGCAGCATTTGGCCGGCTGGCTGGGAAAACACTCTACAGAATGCCTGCTACCAGCTTTCAGAGCTCTCAACGTAGCTCTTGGGCATCCTTCAGCAGGCATTTCCCAGTCAGAACAGTGAATTAAATTTGAGATATCATTCTCATCAGAAAATCCTTTGCTCTATAAAGAAAAACAGAAGTAAAACAGACATAAGGAAATAATAGATTTCAGAAGCGGAGACTCATATCTTACACAGATCTCATCATGTTGGTCTTCTGTTCTGATGACTGGTCCCTGATACCTGCAAGATGTCTGGCTTACAATATCCTTCCACACCTATAGGATATCTGGGTTCTGGAGAGCCTGCCAACCTCTCCAGCCATGCCTATGCACACATGCACACACACGCACACATGCCATAAACAATATCCCCTACATTTGTTAGGACTCAGCTCTGATACTGGCCTGCCTATGAAGCCTTTTCTCGCCAATATACCACTCCCACTGAAATTTCTACTCCTTTCTTTGAATCTATATTGTATGCTATGCATAATTCTAGTCTAATACCTGTTATAATTTATTCTAATCATTTGTTTACGTCTTTTTCAACTTTTACCAAACTGGAAACTATTTGAAGATAGGAACTCTTAAAAAATGCCTTAGACTACAACAAGATAGGTACTGATTGGTAGATAGATGGGTGAATTTCTAAATACAGATGTTCCCATATTTTAAAAGGACCTATAGATTGTTAGAACATAACGTCCTGCTTTCCTAAATGTATAAAACTGTCCAGCTTGGTGTTACTGCTTCAACATGGTCCACCCTCACAATGGTGACAAAACTCAACGTATTAAATACACCTAAAGAATACAGAAAGCCTCCTCTTTAGAGAGAAATGTTAAAATGTAATGGTTGCTTAATGAAGTGTAAATTAATTGTGAAAATAGAAACCTTTTGAACCTGCTTTCCCATGTTGTGAACAAAATTCCTACCTGTTGTACAACCTTTCCAAGATTAGGAAAACCCCAGTGAAGAGAGATTGAAAGTGAATAGGTCATCACTAACCACCCTTAAAATTTCTTGTTTCAAACAGAATTAAAAACTATATTTTGTGCACTCTTACTCACAGAAGGAAATAAAAAGGAAAGGAAGTAACCAGTGCTTGGGAGAGGTAGGGCTGTGGAGTTCTGCATTGTCCTGGGATAGGGCGTGGCCGGGGCTATGACACAGCGAACAATTGTTCCCTGTGCTAATGGAGAGTGGGTGTGTCTAGGAGAGGATGTGTCCCAGCCCTGGGAGAGGAAGATGCCAGCCACTCTGTGCTGACACAGCAAGGACTGCCAACTGGAGCCCAGAGCTGTGCTGCCATTTGCGTCCCTGGCCTAACGAGTGCCACAGGGTGTCGTTTTTCTGGAGTTATTGCACAGATCACAGATATGGGCAGATGTATTTCTGTGCTCATAAACAAAATGGTCATCTCAGAGTGGAGAATTTACTAAGCCAACAGAAGCCTCATTTCTTACAACAATGTAAATGTGGCTTTTTCCCTCTCAGACACCAAAATAGTTTCAAAAGCTAGGAAGTCATTAAGAATGGCTTGTCTGTCATTCTTACTTGGGCAAGGTGTGGGATTGATAAGGACACAGAACAAAAGAATTTGCTGAACAGGAAAAGGACCCTACAACTAACAAGACTATACTTGAATCCACATTGACCCCCTTTCCTGCTATGACTGAAACTGCATTTCTTCTGTTTCTTTTATTCATTTAAATGCTATCATCATACCTGTTCTACAACTCTGTGGACACTAGCACTGTTTGGAGAATATAAGAATGGTGTCTGATTTCATATGCTTGCTTTATTTTTCTACCCATCTTACTCTCCCCTGGATTCTCTTTACTGTCCGCTCTTGGATTTTGAACTGTTTCATCTTTCTAAGCCTCAAGACTGCATTCATTTCATTCATTCTACTTCAAGTTAATATTCCACTGGGCAAGCTTTTCTTGTATGGTGACATAAAACTTTTAACCTCATTTCTCAGAACAAGTTTTCCTAAAACTTGGGTCAACTTGACAGTCTCCTGTTGAGTTGCCTTAACAGAAAATATTATTCCAGGTGAAAAGTAACCAGAATTGGAGACTACATTGTAGAAGAGCTTTCACTTAGGTGTGGGGTTCTAGCAGCCTCTAGAGTAATTTTGTATGAGTCTTGAAGAGCATTGACCTTCTCTGATGTTTGTCAGCCCTTGACTTAGGGTAGACATAGAATTCTCCCATATCTAGACCCCATTCCTCTTTTCTCCTTGTCTCAATTCATCCTGCACATGCCATAGACATCTTTTCATTCTTCCTAGGAGTCTATAAAAGTGCATTTTCCTGGTCAGCTTTGATCATCTATTAGATGTTCCCATATTCCCCGAGATCTTCAGCACATAGGGGCACTTAAAGGCAAAAACTGTTTCTTCTTAGTCAAATGGTTCCATAATGATGGCTAGAAAAAAAAAGCATAAATAAAATTTGAGGGGAAAAAAAGTAATGAGGACATATCATCTCAGATCACTTATCAGTGTTTAGGATATCTCCTAAAGCCAAGAATAGAGCTTTATATTGTGTTTTGAATAAAACTTGGGCTAGTCTCAAGAAAGGCCGAGTAAACGGCAAAAGCTGGTACTAGCCTGAAAGAGACCACCAGTGATTCCCTACAGAGTGTTGTTCCACATGTGCAGGTAATTTTTTTCTTCGTCGATTCAGTACCTCAAAATTGCTTCTGTCCAACTTAAAGTGTTGAAGGTTTTTGTTTTGGATTAAAGATTCCAGTATCCAATTAGAGCTGAGTTGAGCCACATGTTTTTGGTTTCTACCTACCTGTGGAGTTTTGCTACCATAAAGATTTTGATCCTAGAAATTAGACTTTAAATTGTCCAGTGCCCCTGAATTCCAGTATTTGGCGATAACCGTATTAATACTTGTGTTCTCTGCCTCTTTAGACTCCTTTGTATAAAGTTTTCTATACATGCATGTGTTGACGCACAGATTTATTGTAGTGTACATTCATTCCTGGAGAAGAAGTAGTATTATGCTCAAATGTGGGGCCTTGGGCCAAACTACCTGAGTCCAAAATCTGTCAGTTACCAGCTGTGTGACTTTAGGCAACTTCTTTAACTTATGAATGCCTCTTTATCCTCATCTTTAAAAATGGGGTTAATGATAGAATTTCTTTCAAAGAATTATTATAGAATTGACAGTCAGTTATACAGAGTTCTTATTAGTACAGTGTTTGGCACACAGTAAATGCCCAATATTGTTGTTATTACTTATTTATTTATTCACTCATTCACCAGATAGTTATCAAACACTGTGCTAGAGCCTGGGAATATGATGCTGAACAAGATAGACCACAGTCTCCACCCTTGTGGAGACTGCAGATAAAGAGGTGATGGCAGGACCTGTGGAGGAGTAGAATGGCATCATTAGTGAATTATACAGATTAACCAGTCAAAAGTAGATAAGGGATAATCTAGGCTTCCAGCAAATTTTAATATGTACTCTTTTAATGTTTATCTTGGTTTTCATCCTTTCTGATCCTCTTTCTAATGGTTCAGTAGGTATTCAGTGGTATAGAAATATCATATAAATATGAGAAAATTGATATTGACCTGATACTTAATGTAAAATAACCACAAAGATATCTTCTTTTTATCTGAGAATTTTAACTGAAAATTCATAAAGGGGGAAATAATAAAGTATTCATCCTAATGTACTAAATTTTTAACCACATCAAATGGACAATCCCCTAAAAAGAAAAGAAAGCTGTCCGGGCTCAGTGGCTCAGCCTGTAATCCCAGCACTTTGGGAATCCAAGGTGAGTGGATTACCTGGACCCGCGGGTTCAAGACCAGTCCAGGCAACTTGATGAGACCTTGTCTCTACAATAAGTAAAAAATTAGCCCAGTGTGGTAGCGCATGCCTATAGTTCTGGCTACGTGGAAGACTGAAGCAGAAGAATCACCAGAGCCCAGCAGGTCAATGCTGGGGTGTCCGTGAGCGTGCCACTGCACTGCAGCCTGTGCAACAGAGTGAGACTCCAACTCAAAAAAAAAGAAAAAGAAAAGAAAGCTAAGATTTTTTTTTTCAGTAAAACAAACAAAGAAAAAATCATTTTTTTTCCTGCAGAGCATTTTGGGAAATGGGTTGGGGAACACATTCACTGACCAAAATCAAGTATTTTTCATGAAGAACATCTTGGCTTGAACTCTACTCGCTGATGTTTACTCCATTTTTTTCCTTGCTATACCATTTGTCTTTAACATTAATTTTTCTTCCCATTGTATTTCTAATGTCCTCAGTTGTGGTTGGTTTTTTTTTTGTTTGTTTGTTTTTTAGATATTTGATATTTATTCTCAGTCTTTGTAGGTATTAGAAAAAAAAAATCATGGGTTAAAATCTAGAACTAAGAAAGCAATAACTTCAAAGAAGTCGAACAATCTAGTTAAAACAACACCTTCCTCCAGTAAAAACATGTGGCCTGTTTCTAATCAAATTACCATATGCTTGTCGAGTTGTCCTCCTCACCCCACACAAACTTTTCCTAATATTTTTCTGTAAATGATGTTAAGTTAAATGGCCTATAATTGCTTGCTCTATCTCATAGTCCTGTTTAGAATAATGATATGTAACACTTTCCAGACCTCAGGAATCTGATCTGTCATCAGAGGACTTGTGTAAATAGCAGTTAGAGCTTCCCTCAGCTCTGTCTCTATGTACTTGGGGGTAAAAAGTCCTCAACGTGTTCACCAGTCTGGCCTTTTGTCCTAAAACTGTCCCCATTTTCTCCCATAGCTGTTCTCACCACCTTCTCACACTTCCCCTCCCAAAACAGGAAATTAGATCCCCCTGCTCTATCCCTTCATCTGCTCCAGCTCTGCTAGAAACCAGCCCATCCCTCCCAGTCCTAATCCCTCTGACCTCTAAGGCTCTAATCTTCCCCTTCACTCTTGCTTTTCTGCGTTCCTTCCCCTGACTGGTGGGAGCCTGGGTCAGAAGATGCAGACAGAACAGTTTAAGGATGAGTGCCTTTCTTCCTGCTCTTCTGGACCTGTTCTGTAAGGTCCCTTTCAGTTTTAATATCCTGGTGTATCTGCTCTCATAACTGTCAGACCACAGTGGTGAGGAATGCTGTCTGTCACTAATGCCTGATCATGATGCTTCCTCTTTTGTAATTATTCTATGAACTTCTTACTACTTGTATTTTATAAATAGTTTATATCTCTAAATCACTGTTTATATATTTTAAGTCTCCCTCTTAGGCTCCTCATACTAATCTTTATATCCTTCCTTAATCACATTGACCTTTCTTGCCCTTTTCCTTCTTTGGACTTAACTAAGAGAGCTTTAAGTTTCAGTCTCTTCAGTTGATTTTTAAATATTCCACTGTATGTTTTCCATACTTCATAGGATCCCATACAAAACTCCCAAGGGCATATAACATTCCTCCCGAAGACTGTGATCTTTCCTCGGTTGCTGTTCTCTCTAAGAGCATTTTATATCTAATGAAATAGTAATTTTGTACTAATTATAACACCCCTCAACTTCCTTTCATTTTTTCCCCTTTCTTATTATTAAATCTGGACTAGGATAATGTTATTAAAGCCTCTAAAATCTTTATGAATACACACACACACACACACACACACACACACATATAGCTATATACCTTCCCTTATTTAAAAAAAAATTTTGTATTTATTCTTAAGATTCTTTCATATTCCTAATGTAAACACTTTCACTATTTGCACCAGTAGAAAATTTCTATAAAATCTGTTCCTTTTTCTCAAAAAGCTATATAGGTGCTGTTGTCATTTATAATCAGTATTGACCTCTTGGCATCTATAATTAGTTATTGAACTCAGCTTCTACCTAAACTAGCTCGGATGTAGGTCACACAAAGTGTAGAATTACTTGTAGAGAACTCTTCATCCCCGATGGTGATTACCTGTTTTATCTTTTTTTTTTTTTTTTTTTTTTGTCTTTTGCCAATGAGATCTGTATTCTAGAATTTTAAAAATCTCTATAGCTGGTTGTTTATTTTTTTTTTAGCACATCAGCAATGCCCTCCCTATTTTATCAAGCCATATTTACCTTCTAAAATAACTGTAGTTCAAAAGTATTGATGGAGATTTCTTAGACAATACTGGCTATGGTTTCCTTCCTTCACCCTATCTACCTTATACTCTCAATAAGGTTAATTATTCCTTACCAGATTTGATTGTTTTCCTAACACATTCTTTACTTGAAAACAATTATTTAGATCTACCAAAATGTGGTCCACATATATCTGCTGTGGGTGCTGCTCTTCCTTTATCACACTCTTGATGTCTCCTCTTGCTTCATTATCTGTACCCATGGCTCATGCCAGAGTGGTTTCTCCATTCACTGTTACATCTGCTAGCAAAGTTGAGAACTCTTCTGACTACTTTTGCCATACACTTCTGAGGTGAGATATTCACAGCTGATGGTCTTACTTCCTGACTTAGTAGCTCTGATCTGCCTCCTAGACATTCAGTCACCACTTAATGTTCATGACCTGTTGGTGCATACTTGGTTCCATCCAGCTGTTGTTCAGAATTAGGAACTGTCCTTAATAGAATAATCCAGCTTGCACATTTCGTAATGCTGCCATAAATCTGCTTCTTTTCCTAGATAAATTAGGTGTGTACTGCTACGTGAAACCTGATGTAAGAATATCTAAACTAAAAAATGAGTAGGTCTGTTGCTTCTAAAAGATTCTCCAGTTTTTAAAATTCATTGCAGAAATCTTTTAGATAGTACATTCACCATGTACATATAAAATATAATTTTGATTTTTCAGCTTCTCAGATGGTGAAATATATCAGTATATATAACATTAAATATTGTATATGACTGAAATCTTAGAGATTCAGCTTGAAAAATGTGTTTATTGAACATTCCATTACCATGGAGTAAGACCTAGTTCAACACCAAGAAGTATAAAGATTGATGAGATAAAGTCCTTTCCCAATAGTAGCTCTTAGCCAAATGACAAGGGAGTGGCAACAAGGTTCCTGGGACAATCCAGGAAGGTGTAATGAGGGGCTGACTGAACCAGAGCAGTGGAGGCAAGAAAAACAGTTACAGATGCCAGGGCATTGCAGAGATAGAAACCACAGAATTAGGTACTGGATTGGGCAGAGCTGTGGGTGATTCCCAGGGTAGAGGCTGAACAGTGCAGGGTGGTGGGGAGATGTGATGTCAGATGCCAGAACAGAGATCCAGGGAGAGGACTCGCCTTGCAGAGGGAGGTGGTGCAGAGTTCTTTCACGTTTGTGCTGACTTGGAGACAGCCGTGTAGCAATATCAAGGAGGCAGTTAGAGCTGGAGGCCTAGTGTAGAGGAAAGAGGTCAGGGCTGGGGTAGTGCAAGAGGTGAAAGTTAAAGCCCTGAGAAGAACTCCCCAAAAGAGTATATTACTAGCAAGCACAGGAAGCCAGTCACAAAGCCAGGCAAATTTAAATTCCAGGAGGTAAGTCCCAAACATATTTTGGAAAAGTGGGTGCAGAATTCACAAACTAAGTACTTGTATCCAAGAGGCATAGGGCCAGACTAACATGTCTCCCACCCTAGATGAGTACTCCTCGTTTTCTGGCTAATGCCAAAGAGATCACATTAACTGGCAGATGATTACTGTGTTTCATTTCAGACAAAATTGAACTTTGGGGACAAGCAGAGACTCAGTTTCAAATTAATATGTCCTGGAAGTCTGGTTTTAAAGCATTTAGAATTCTTAAAGATGAAAGCATTTATATAAATATAAGGTACTTTGTGCTGCATATTATCATTTTATTACTGTCATCATTAATATCATCATCATCACATACTACATAAAATCAGTAGTTATCAGCAGACATCTTCTGAAAGGATACTTTGAGCTCTTCAAATTCATGAGATTGTCTTTTATTTAAATATTTATTTTGCTTTGTACTTATACAGCTTCATGCAGAAAAAGCTATTTGCTGCTTAGTACTGCCAGCTCTGTATTTCTTGATCCAGTGGTAGAAAGGATGGTTGTGGTGGAAGGCAGGGAGGTATTGAATTGGTGATCACAACTTATACTTCTACCTAAACTGTATGTTCCCAGCAAGTTCTGCAGCTCTTCCTAGAGTTGCAGTGTTCACAACAGACTAGTGAACAGACGCCAAGGAGAAGACATTAAGCCATCATCTGCTTTCATATTTACCTGCCAACCAACCCCTCTACTTCTCCCTTAGAAATCTTCCTGCAGAAATCTGCTGGTTGTCACTTTTATAATCTAAAATTCATGTTGACTTCCTCTTGCTGCTGTAACAAATTATCACAAACCTGGCAGCTTAAAACTACCCAAATTCATCATCTCATCAGAGGACCCAGCTGAGTCCCCTTGGCTAAAGCCAAGGTGTTGAAAAGTTATATTCCTCCAGGAGGTTCCAGGCTCCCTGAACTATAGTACAAGGTCTTCTGTTGGCAGAGAATACTGAGTTCATCTCTTTGAACCCATGGTGGGTCATAGTGTTTCCCATCGACTAGAAAGCATGTTATTAATCATTCTGAAGAGAAAATGAAATGGAAGACTCTGGCATGTCATCTATTTAAAGTTCCATAATATGCACGCTCAGAAAACACCACTCCATGCACTTGGGCAACCAGAAATGAAGACACACCAAGCAGGAAGTGAGAACAGGCTTCCTAATGAAGGAGAGTTTTAGAGTAGGGTTTTAGAAAGATTTGTGTTTAAGAGGGGAGTATAGGTAGAGGAAGAGTATACTGTGGTATTGAACCAGCATTATATACAGAGTAGGCAAGGACTCTGTCAGGTGGAGAGGCGAGCTCAGCCAGGAACCCTGAGAAGGAGGTTGGCAGAGCTGCCCCACTACACCCTGCTCTAACTGAGCCTTTCTCCCACACCAGCAGCACATTCTGTTCACCGGTGCCTTACCTCCAACCTGTCTGTGGGCAACTGAGCTGCTCTTCCTTTGTTTTTATCTTCTCTTTGCTTCCTGTTTTTTTTTGTTGTTTGTTTGTTTGTTTACCTTCTGGTATTTTTCTTTCTTTATTTTTACCTCCTCTTTTCTTTTTTCTTGCTGGCATGAGTCTCAAAACCAGCCATATGTCATCCTTAAGCTTCATATAACCACCATTCTGAGACTATCATCTGTCTTTTGACACCTGCCATCTGATCCCAGAAATTCTAGAAGAATGTCTCCTCACCTGTTCCATTAAATTGGTTATACAAGTTTTGTGTCTGAGGCAAATTCTTAAACAGTCCCCATCTGCTTTCATGAATAAAAGGCAGAGTCAGAAGTAGAGAATGCCTTGATTTTGTAAGAGAAATTTGCTTATATCATAGACATGGATCCTTAATAGCCACTCTAAGAAAACCAATCTAAAGATACTTTTTTTTTCTTTTTCTACATTCTTTTGACTTCGTAATGAAATGTTTCTCTATTCTACAGGGTTTTGTTTTTTTTTGAGAATGAAATTTTATGTGAAAGTATTTCTTAGAGGTATCAGAAAGGCATTTTATATTTTAGATTAGGGGTGTTTCTATTATTTTTTGAAAATGAGTTAGCAAGAGAATGTGCCGAAAAGCAGAATTAGAATTAGATTAGAATTGCTAGAACTTTGGGGAATATGTGAGGTTTTCTTTAAGGCAAGTTAATACAGTGTTGAAGTTACTAAGACGTTCTGTTTGTTTCTGATTTAGTTTTTGTTTTGGAAGATTAGAATGTGCTATATTCCCTTATTAAAATAATACAATTTTTTAAAATGTAGTGATAATTTGAACATGTCCTACTGGCTTGCATTATAAATTTAAAGGGTATAAGTCTCCACACCTTTTATTCCCAACATTCAGACTTTTAAAGTCTTCATAAAGCTCCTAACCTCTCTTTATTTCTGTGTTTCCCTCTTTAACATAACAGTGAATATTTTCCCACTAATCTCAATGGGCACATTGAAGAAGCTGATGAATTATTCCTCTCAAGACCTTGCACAAATTTCAGTCCCTTGGTGAAACCTGCTCCTGTTACCCCAGGCAAAATCAGCATTTACTACTTGTCCCATTGTATTGTGATGTCATTTCTCCCTGGGAGATTGGGAGCAAGAATGACATCTGATGGCCTTGGAGAGTACCAGGCACACAGTAGGAGATAAGAAAAGGAATGGTGTGGACATCACCAAAGAATCAGTCTTATGCTTTCCAGCCAGCTCTAGTAGAACCCAAATTACTCAAACCAATGTATTAAACTATGATTAAATTCTAAATCACAAACAAAATAAAAATAATAGTGTTTCTCTTTTTCTGTTTGAGATTCTATTTCAAGGAGTGTTAAGTTCATACACATCTTAACACTTGTACATCCAACCTTTAAAAAAAACTCAGTTTCCATTCCTTTGTCTCTACACATCCCGTTTTACTAGTGCTTTCATTTTCTGCCCCTTTCTTATCTCCTCGTGTGTATGCTGATGCCTACTCCCTCTTTTTTCATCTGTTCTGAAATTTTTGTTTTCATAGGCTCTGTTTGTTTCTCCACTTTCCTCCCTGCATCTTTCTTGTTAATCTATCCCAACTGTCTAACACAAGCTCCAGGTACTAGAGGTGTTCCCTGGTTCCTTTTTTTATGGGAGAGCTAGTGATGGCCACATTACAGCTTTTGTAGCCCAACTTTGCCCTTTAGACCCACTAGACCATGATGCCTACAGCATCCATAGTGTGCTGTGTGCACACTATGTGAAAACCTCCTCGTGCCTTGAAATCTTGGAAGACTACACCAATAATAGTGCATGTGCAAAAGGCATCCTAGATTGCTTCCTTCTGAAGAAAGTACATCTGCCAGATGGAGGCTTTTCAGACTCTGGCCACAGTAAGAAATGTCCCGTTGGCAGCCACCATCTTGTGGCACAAAGTATCAACTAGCATAAAAGATACTTACTTGTACCTATGGTTTTTCCGTTGCACAGGTTCGTCAGCTACTCTACCTCCAAAACTTTGTGGATAAAGAAGTGAGAAATAAGTATCACTCAGTGAGTGACTATAATAGCTGGTATTTTTATTATGGTGCCAAAGTCTATCAGAAACCTAATGGCATAATATATCACTTATTTTCCTCACTTAGAATATTCAATGTTCTTCTTGAAAAAAAAAATAAGTGCAAACAAAAAACTTTAATATATGATTTATTAGGTGATAGTCATTTAGAGCAATAATTTTTAAATTTTTGAAATAAGTGTTGGGCTAACAGAGATTTTTCTAATAAGGCATGTAATGTCTTCCTCTTCGCACACCCATTTTGATGAAAAATTCAGTCAAATGCTCTGGTGGAGGCTTTGGATATGCTTTTAAAACAGGTATCTAAATATAGTTTTCCTTAATATTATGTTTCCTCCATGAAGAGAAATGGCTGATTGAGTATGGCTCCCTTGCCAAAATGTTAACTTATAGTGAGGATGTGAAAAAGTAAGAGCTCTAAAGGGTCCGTGGCTCAGATGACTCGGAAAAGGGAAAGGGAAAGAATGTAGATCAACAGCTGCTGATTTTCCTTTGAGATCTTTGTGCTACGAGCTGCAGAACTGAGGTGAGAGAAGCCGTGTCCCTGCTTGGCACATCTGTAAAATCTAGCACGCACATGAAGTCTGTTGATCCAAGGCCTATTTTCCTATTGGCGAGGTGAAATGTTATCTTCATGCATCAGCACCTCCCACTTGTGCTAAAGGTGGGAGCAAGGTCCGTGCCAGTCATTGTCTCCTCTCAGCTGGGGGGGAGGCAGTAGGAGGCAGCCACAGGGCGGAGGCACCAAGCAAACATCACCAAGCTCTGGGTCCTAGCGTGGGCAGGTGGTGGGCGCCGGGAGCGGCAGAGGCCTGTGCCCAGTTGTCACACGTGGTGCTGAGCAACAGCCAACTGATCCCAGAAAGGCGGTGAAGAGATAACACACACCAGCGGCCATGAGAAAACTAGGACATTCCACCTTACAGGAAGAGGGTTCTAATGGAGGTTTAGTTCAGTGTCTTCACAAAAAGGCAGCACTTGCCTTCCTGAAGATGAGGTTATCTGGCCAGACATCAAACATTCAGTTGCTTGTCCACTGAGAGTGTCCACCGGGGTCATCCACGTTGCTTCTGGTGTCTCAGTTTCACACCAGTGGCTGGGCTCTGTATGGTCTCATATTTACGGATTTGTTGCTTTGGGGTACACAGTGGTATAATGCCCTTGGCTTCCTTGCTTTCTGCAGCAGAAACAACTTCACATGCCTGCACCGTTGTCCCAAGTCCTTGGATGCATTTGTCAGTCTTTCTTATTCACATAATTTTCTCCTCAACCCCCCAACTAAATAGGATTTCTCTTGTTCTGCTGCCACCCTCTATTGAAATCCAAACTTAATCACCCATCATTTATTAGAAGTATTCTTCTTTTCTGCCTTTTACATGATCTTGCTGAGTTTTTTTTTTAAGTTCAAATTTTTTTGCTTCCTTTCTCCATCTTTATAATTTTTTCAGACAGTTGAACTTCTAGCTGAACTTCTGAACTTTCCAATATCCTCATACTCTGTGGTCAGCATCAGCAACTTCAAAGTGAAGTGGGTATTTGTCTAAAAACCTGAGTTGATAAGTCATTATTTCTTCTGCATCTTCTCACCATATGAGTGACATTTTGTGCCCCAACTTTAGCTGTAGGTAATAAGTTAGGAATGTGGGGATTTTTTGTTCTTTTTTGCTTTGGGTTTTTTTTTTTTTTAGTTTCTCTTGCATATGTAAACCATTGGCAACAATATTAATTTATTCATCTGACGTTTACCTGCTGAATGAAGGAAACAAGAACATACACTTTGGCCAAAATAACTAGGAGCTAAGATAAGAATATAGCATTTGAAAGTGCTGCACATAGCTGTCTGCATCTTACACTTTACATACCAGCTCAGCTTCTTTGTCTCTAAATGGAGGATGATTATGATAAACTTCACAAAAGTGGTGGGAGGTTAAATTAGTGTTTGTGAAACATGT